TACCTCTCTCTCTCTCTCTCTCTCTCTCTCTCTCTCTCTCTCTCTCTCTCTCTCTCTCTCTCTCTCTCTCTCTCTCTCTCTCTCTCTCTCTCTCTCTCTCTCTCTCTCTCTCTCTCTCTCTCTCTCATCATTGGCGTGATCTTCAAGTCCTGCAACTCAATCTCAACTTCAACTTGTAGCTGCACGACCTGAGACATTCCAAAGCAATCCGACCAAAGCTCTCCTTGCATCCAAGCTTGCGCCCCAAAGGTGGTCCATTCAGATCCATTGGTGATTAAGGTAAAAATTTATAAACCCTAAAACATAGATTTATGAAACCCCCTAATCTATGTTGAATCTGATCTGATTAAGAACTCTAAATTAATCCCCTTAAAACCTTAAGTCATGCGCATGTATGCAATCCGCATACAAAAGCATGATTTGTCCAAAAACCCTAATTTGTTCATCTCGAAATCTCTTGCTTGCTAAATCCGTTTTTTTGTTTGATTTTGTCAAGTTATTTATGTTGAATGTTTATGTGATTCAACTTTATAGATTTCGTGATTTACTTTTGGTAATTGATCTTGTTAAAACCCTAATTGGTTTAAGCATAAAACCGGCTGCTTTGTTTCTCTCTCTATCCGATTGCTTGACCTAATTGATTGCTTGTCTAAAAATTGTTCATGCTGCATAAGATCTTATAGTTTTCATTAAAATTTTATCATCCTGAGTCTATATGATTGTTTGATCACCAGAATAATAAGATCTGAGGTTTAGAATCTGTCTTTCTTTTTTATTTTTTTTTAAAAAAACATAATCGCATGAACCCTAGATTTGATTTTGAATGTGTTAAACTCTAATTCTAGGATTGCTAAATTTATGACTTATTATTGATTTAGTATTCTTGTGTGATCCACCTGTTTGTTTTGATAGTGAGTATGCTTGCTAGGTTAATAGTTCACATGATTAGAACTTGATAAATTGTTCAAAACCCTAATTCTCTTTTGATTGCATAATCTGACTAGGTTTAGATTTTGTTCTAAAAATAATTCGACCAAAACTGCTTAAGTCTTGATAGTTTTTAGTGAAACCTGATCATTCTGAGACTATGTGTTGCTTGACCTAATTTTTTATAGAATCAAAACCGTGTTGTATTGATAAGTTGATCACTGAAACCCTAAACCTAATTTTGTATGATCCGATTTCTATGATGCTTGCAATGCTTGAATTTTTTTTTAAATCCCCTGATTGCATGATCATTCTATATTTTTTTAGGATTAAGAAATCAGATGTTAGGTTGAATATGTTCACTTTGGTTCCACCTTGAAATCGGCCATAGTCTAAAACCCTAATTAGGTCACATGTTCTTGTTAATTGCTAAACTTAATTGTGTATTGCGGTTTTGCTTGACCTTCTTGTTGCTTAATCACATGATTCATATAGAACTCATATGCTAGGTCTGTCTGCATCATATTTTAAGAATCTTGATTGCATCTAAGAACCTAAAACCCTAATGTGGTAAAACAAGGAATAACTACAACAATAAGGATAAACACAAGAGATAAGCCTTATCTTAAAGTTATAAGGATTATGTTGCCCAGAAAAAAAAGAAGTGATAAGGATTACAAGAGATAATCCTAATCTATATGGATTAGGATAACTACAACAATAAGGATAAACACAAGGAATGAGATATGGATAAGATCTGCTCATGGACGCATGTAGATAAGGACAAGGAACCTCGGATAGACCTTATTCGATCTAGGAGAACTCGGATGGGATTTTGGTCATGCGCATGAACCCAAGGCCCGGTTTCAGATATAGCCCAACCAGAAATAGTTCTCAACATTACGATATATATAGAGTAAATTTGTTTTTCACTTTATTATAGGGTAACAAATAGAATACCATTGGAGTATTTTTTATTCTAAATTCTATTTGAGTAAAAAATAGAGTAAGGTTGGATATGTTCTAAAGATTGAAAACTTTCAGTTGCAGTTCAGGAGATTAGAACTCTCAATATTTCTTAATCCCTTAAAATATTTGTCTGCATCTAATCTATTAAGGCCATGTTCGTTTGTCCATTTGTAATCTCCATTCAGCTGATCCATCTATGTGATCCATCCAAATGGCTCAGTTCCATTTTACGGGTTGTTCGTTTCTCCATCAAAATGAATCATTTAAATGAACCATTTGAACGAAGTTTATGTTTGTTTCTTGTTTTTTATTTCCATACAAATGAGTTTGATAAACAAATTACAAATGTACCTTTATTTTGATTTAATCACATGTTTGATATTAATTTTAACTTTACTAATGAATATTATTTAGTCTAAAATATATTTACACTAAAACTATTTTAAAATTCTCATTTTTACATTTATAAAATTTTATTTCATATAAATTTATAATTTTTTATTTCACATAAATTTATAAACAATCATATATTCATTCACTCCTTTATTTAAATTGCACTAAAATTTATAGCTTCTAATAAAACTCAAAGTGCAAACTCAAATTTGAATAAACTTCTAAACATTCAAAGTAGAAACTCAAGTCTTATAAAACTGAAATTTAAAGGATGGCTTGCGGTCCAAGTAACTTCCACAATAGATGAAAAACAATGTTATATGTAAGACCTCCCACACTCCAAGCTTTCCTAAGATTCAACATTCCATAAAAATGCATTTTCAGCTTATAAGAAAGCTCAACACTATTCCAGCAACAACAAGACTACATGAAACCTGGCACATAAACACTCAATTAAAAAGAGTAAATACTAGCCTAACTAAACAAAGAAAGCTCAGCGTATACATCATCACAATTCACAACTTTTATCACTACGTTATCAATAAGAGCACTCACGTTAACTTAACACATTCATTTGCTTACTTGAACTTAAAAGTGGTGATCTACAGAACATGAATTAACTCAACGATACACAGACAAACACAGGCAAAAAAATTCAACGTGTGATCTACCGAACATGAATCATCATGTCAAACACAAGACCGATTCTAGTAAAGCTACAAGAACATACCGATTCTAATAAACACAAGAACAAGATATAACTACACAATGGAAAAGAGAGACTTACACTGTCCATTTTGAACACTCACCAAACCTTGTTTACTTCACCAAACCTGAAATATCAAAACCATTACCAGACCTAAAACGTTAGAACCATTGAACCAAACAAAACAGATTCTCATAACACAAGAACAAAGTCATTGAAATTGGAAACAAGACTCCACAAGCTCTACATATTAATAAACTTATTGTTTAGCTTGTAGATGTTGACCACTAACCTAAACACGCTGAACTTAAAACTTTAAATATTAATGACCATATTTTGTTTAAATATTAATGACCATAAACTTTAAAGCTTGTGAGTAGATATGCTAAGAAAACGAACATCAACCTAGTTCGGATGTTTCTGCAGAGAAGATGCTCAAAGATCAAGGTCATCAAAGCGTCTTAAAAAGTCAGTATTAAAAAGAGCTTTCCCATGTATAATTTTCATCTATAACAAAGGACTTAAATGTTTGACAAAAAAAAAAAAAAAAAAAAAAACAAAGGACTTAAATTACATAAAAAACAGTAACTAGGAAAAACAAAAAGTTGCTTTGAAATTTAACATAACAATTGATATCCAACTAAATGATAGAGCCTTCTTGAATAATCAACTTTCACTTGGCGCATAAAAGCATTACATATTTGTTAACACTATGGCAGTAAGTAAGATTCAAGCTACATTATAAAAGCTTCACCACTCAATGTCAGTTTCGTCTTCTTTATATGTACACACAAAACCCACAACAGAATCACAAGCTAGTGAGATAAGCTAAGCTTAGCTAAGCAAATTAGAGAACAATCAAACCCATCACTAAATCTCTTCCTTAAGATTCACAAGCTATGAGATAAGCAAATCAGAGAACAATTAAACCCATCATAATCAAATCCATCACGAGATTTCAGAGAAGTGTGGCCTGAGAGAGAGAGAGTCGGAGAGATATACCTGAGAGAGAGGCGGAGAGCGAGCTGCGGTGAGAGAGAGAGAGATGTGGAGAGGAGACGTGGCGGAGAGAGAGAGAGCTCAAGCTATGGTGGAGGGGCAAAATTGACATTTCGATATTTTGACTGAACCAGTTCCATTCAAATGATTCAAATCGGTTCAGTCAACTGGTTTTTGAAATTAAACCTAATTTTTTGAAAATCATTCAAATGATCCATCCGAATGAGTTGTTCTTTTTGTGTCTAAACAAACAGAAAATTCATTTCTATTCGAATGGATCATTTGAATGGAGAAACGAACAGGGCCTAAATCAGTCGGTTAAATTAATTGAAGGCTAATTTTGGGTCTAGAAGTGAAAAACACAAACTAGTTGGTGAATTTGGGGTAAAAAACAAACGTTCGGGGGATTACACTGAAAGCAAACATTATATTGGTGACTTATGCGTAATTAAGTAAAACCATGAGGAAAACTAGAAATAAAATTAAATAAAAAGGGGGAAAAAAAAAGAAAGGGAAACTCTTGATAGATATTCTTCCTGTTAGTATTGGTGTTGTTGCGTCTCCTTAGCTCAGAGTCAGATCTGCTTCCTTTGCTGAAGTCTCCATCACCAGAATCTCTCTTTCACCGTTATTCACTCTCACGTAAGTCTCTTTGAATCTCAGCTTCTCCAGTACTGATTGATCTCCGTTTTCTCTTCTTCCGATTGATTATGTGTGTCTCTTCTCACGCACTCTTTCTCCTCCGATTGATTGGGAACGATTCGAGCCCCGACTTCGATTTTCCAGATCTGACTATTGAAATCTTAGATTATTTAAGCTACAAGATGATTCTTTCTGCAAAACACGTTTAGAAATCGAATCTAGGGTTTCTGGATCTTTAATTTGTATTGGGAATATTGATGACGTCATTGTATTATTACTAATAATCTCTTAGGGTTTTCAAGAATCATCACAAATGGACGGAGGTGACATGGCCACACCTGTACAAAAGCGAGCACACGAGGCATGGAGGATCTACAAGTTTTATCTCGACAAGACTACGCCTCACTCTACCTACCGCTGGATTGGAACCTTTGTTGTCTTCCTCATCTACTGCTTGAGAGTTTTCTCCATCCACGGCTTCTACATCATCTCCTATGGTCTCGGCATCTACCTCCTCAATCTCCTCATCGGCTTCTTGTCCCCTCTCGTTGATCCTGAGCTCGACAACTCTGATGGAGGAGCTTCTCTCCCTACTCGTGGCTCTGATGAGTTCAAGCCTTTTATCCGCCGTCTCCCCGAGTTCAAGTTCTGGTAGTAACTACATGTTTTAGCTTCTTTGCTTTTTACTTTTTTGGTTGACGATGTGGTTGAAATGTGTTGCAGGTACTCCATGACTAAGGCCTTCTGTATTGCCTTTCTCATGACGTTTTTCTCGGTCTTTGATGTTCCTGTCTTCTGGCCTATTCTGCTTTGCTACTGGATTGTTCTCTTTGTCCTCACCATGAGACGCCAGATCTCTCACATGATCAAGCACAAGTACATTCCTTTCAGCATCGGAAAACAGGTTTTCCACCAAAAACCCATTTACTCACACTGCTAATACACTTTGAGTACAAAGTCATTCACATTCATAGTTAAAGCTGCTAATTTGTCTTAAATGTTTGATCTCTGTGTGGCAGAAATATAGCGGCCGGAGATCTTCTGCTACCGGTGGCGCCTCTCGTGCTGATTGATTCTGATGGTCATCCACTTTTTTCTTCAGAAGAAGAAAGAACAAAAGATAAGAAGATGGGTTTATTGATCAAAAAAAAAAAAAAAGAAGGAGATGGGTTTAAACCATTTTGGAATGTTTTGTAGTGATGAATTTCAAATTCCTAGTTACTACAAGGAAGAAGAAAACAAAAAGGGTGATTAGTTTAATCTGTTATATGTTGCAAGAAAATTTGTTCTTTGTTAAATCCCTTTAATATCATTTGCTTCTGTAAATATGATCTATTTTTATTTCTAAACAAATTCATTCCTGTTGTGAAATAAAGAAGAAGGTTGTAACTCTCATTGTCTTATTCATCACGTGCACATACATATATATACATACAAGAGAATAAGCATATTCCTTAGGAGATAAGGATTACAACAATAAAGGGATGATTATCCTAATCCTATAATGATTAGGATAACTACAACATATGGATAAATACAAGGGAGGATAATGACAAGTCT